TCCCTTTCCCTGCTTCTTTCACAATGAATAAAAGTTTGTACAAGATTTGCAAATAAAAGAAAATAAATAATATTCATTTATACTAAATAATATTTCCCGAAGCATCTGTTTTTCTCCCCAAAATTAAAGCCTTAAATTAAATAATTCAGAATCAAAATAAAATTTAAATTTCCATAAATCATAAAATCATTCACCTAATTTTTATAACGCTATCCGGTAATTTCTCTACATAACATTCCTTTCCCCTAAGGAATTAAATTTTGGTTTACCAAAATTTAGCAGACAGACACTTCTTGAAATACCATGACTCATACTGTGCAATAAGGCTAAAGGATAACATGATGTAACAATATTTCATACGACTCCTTGGTATAGTGACGTTACTGACACATTAAATGTAAAGTCCAAAATGTGCAAGTAAAACAACAAGATTAATCAAAGCAATTACTAATTAAAATACTCAAGGAAGATCATCAAAAATAATTAATCAAAAACATCAATTAAATCACTTAATTAAACCTAGAAATACTCAGAACACATACAAAAATAAAAATAAAAATAAGGCGCTAATCACAAACAAAATATGTCTAAGATCAATCAATAAGATAATTAACGCGCCGCAGATACATAAAATACATTCCTGAGAAAATAAACACACTAATAATTCAAACAATTCCAAATAAAATATGTCACATGAACGTATTCAAATAAGGAGTAAAGACCCCTAAGTACTACGAAATTGAATAACTTCTAAGATTGAATCCCAAACAGTCATGTCTAAGAACAGAAGCGGCCTGATAAGGGCCAAGCATTAGAAAAGAAAAGAACGTTACAACACAAGGAACCTCGAAACCAGCCGAAAATACCCCACACAAAAAAATCAGAAAGAAAGAAAACGTGATTGTCCAAAAATTCAATCCAACCAAAAATCAATTCCGAAAATAGCATCCAGAATACGCTGTGCAAATACCAATTAGAATTTCATTCAAGACACACACAAAAAAAATAATACTAATAATACAACCTAATGCATGAAAAAAATAACGTTTGGCCAAAAATTTACAAATACTACCAAGATACACATATACACATAAAATGAAAATACAATTAAACTGTAAAAATTTCGTACATAATTCAAATGAGCAATGAGATCAGTGACACTTAAACAAAAAAAAAATTTTAAACTGCAATACCTAAACAAATACACACATAGTCATTACGTTAAACCATATCAAGCCAAAAAAAAATATTTCACTGTAATTCAAATCAATCCAAAAAATAAAATCAACCAGCAAGAGTGAAGTGTCGCTAAAAATTTCAAACCTCAAAGTAAACACTAGTGAGTAACAACACATGTTTAAGTCCCCTTAGTTAGACAACAAAAATTTCAGTAATTCTAAAAATCCCTTAAGTCCACAAAAAAAATTTCAACTAGTCAAAGAAATCAATCAAAGCTGGACTGAAGCACGTTACTAGAACACTAAATAAAATATCACAAATCAACAAAGTGTTCAAAACAAACCCCCCAATTTAGGCAAAAACTGAGATCTATTCTGCATCAGACTCTTCCAAAACGTTGTATAGTAACCTAAGTAGCAGCCTTCAGCAACACCTCCACCCAAACAAAAGAAACAAAGTAACTCTTTACCGCGTCCATGTAAGCTGAGAAAAGCGCTGTATTATAAATGACAGACTCAAACTTTACGTATCAAGCAAACCTCCAGACACGTTGAAAGAGAACATAAGATCTCTTATCTCGGAAAGAAAAGTGCGCTGACTGAAACGTTACAATTCCTGAACCAACACAATGAAAAAGATACAACAATAGTTTTCTCAGATAACAAGTTCCTGTTTCTCCCGGTGTAAGAGGTCAAGTGCCACCATGAAGTGCAAGTATTTACAAGAAAACGAGCTTTCAGGACATTACAAACAACTTCACGCAAGACCTAACTGCAAGCAACAAATGCAAAGTTCTCAAAAGTGCTAAACTAAAAAAAAATACTCATAACTCGTAACTCAAAAATCCCTAAAAATCACACAAATGAAATCCATAACTCAAATTCTACTATTTTCCTATGACCACAGAAATCTCAATTCTTCCACAGAAACTAAACATCAGAGAACTTACATTTTACGGACCTTGGCAGAAACCACCAGAAAACAACAACAAAAACTTGATACAACTATCTTGATACTAATTCAAATACAAAACCAAAACAAGAATTAACCCCAAATTCAGCAACAAGTCCAACCAAGAAAGAAAATTCAATAACTCAAATCAAATCTATTACGATTCACTAGCAAATTCAAGACAAACTACTTGTAATCAACAGAAAATTCCCACACATGAGTACAGAGCAAAAGTAACTAATCTTCTCAAACTTATTTAAAAATTTCCACAAACCAAATTCCCGTTGTCACCAAAATTCTCATTAAAATTCACTTTCTACAATTCACAAGACTAAATTTCTACTGTTTAAACAATTCTCACCTGACAACTTTTCACAAACTTAAAACTCAGAAGATAACTAATCTCAATTACTCTGACTCATTAACTAATTAGAACTTCACTCAAGCTGAAGAATTCAATCCAAAAAAAAATTAAATATGCAAACATCACTATTGCTGATCTCAGGCAAAAATTCAAATCTAACCCATGTTAACCTTAAAACAGAATTTGGCAATTGAAAAACAATCTACAATTTTTACTCATTCATTTGTATCATTATGCCTTCAGAACTTATAAAATTCATTGCTCAATACTAAATTAAATTTTCTAACACATTACACAATATACTGGAATCATATCAAAACATTGTAAATCAAAAAGCAATAATACTACGCTAGAGAATCATGAAAACATTACATACATTTCACAAAATATTATTCAATTAAGTCAAAAAAATCAAAATTTCTCTAACGTTACCCCTCACAATTACACATTTCACAAGATTCTAGGTTAAATAAGTTAGCAAAAACACACACAAAAAAAAAAATTTCTAGCTACGCATAGCTATGGCTTGTCTCATTCAGTAAAATAATTAGAGTCTTTAATCTCTTTCTCTTAGAAGTGCTCAAAAAATGAGTCCAGTTTTTAAAGACAAGCACTCGAAACTTGTATACAAGGATATACAAATAGCATAGGATTATCGTGAAATAATTCATTTTCCATCTTGTATCAGAAATCAGAAATCAAAAATATACATCCAGAAAACACTCAAGGATTTTCAACAGTAAAATGTACAGTACAGTACCTATTCTGCCTACATTAAAAATATATATTTTTCCTAACTTTAAAGTTCAATTCTGTTTGCCTAACGTTAAAGTCCAAAATTCCTGAAATTCACACAAATCCTCAAAATTTATCCTCTAGTATTAACAAATAAGCAAACACAAATCAAAAACTCTAATTAATCCTAGCACATAAAATTTAGCACCTTCTTAAAACAGTAAGTTATACGAAATAAATAAATTCAAAAAATCAGTTACTGATTCGATCCTTCACTAAGCAGAGGTCACGGCACCAATGTTATGAAGAGCAAGTTTCGACACCAAGGTTAAATAGCTTTACTTCAAGGTACGCTATCCGGTAATTTCTCTACATAACAGGAACATGAATCTTATGTCAAAAAAGACGAAATTAACAAGTCTTCAATAGCGTATCATAGTTGGACTTTTAACCATAATTTTGATTTTGGGTCTGCAAAAATCATCCAAAAGGCTTCTTCCATAGGTGAATTGGATTTTTTTGAGGCTTTTCACATCCACAAAGATTTAGCAAGTTTAGTTAATGATTTGAAGTCCAATCCAGTTAAAATTCTACTATCTTAATTCAGTTATTTTTGCCGATAGATGGCGTTACCTCCTCGCGTTTGGTACTACCAGAGGGTATAAAAATCCGTTCAGTGGTTGCTTTCCTTTATTTGAAGTTCAGATTTTGAGCGTAAGGTGCATTTGCCCTTCGCTCCCTATAACTTCGCTAATATTTCTTTATGCTTGATCAGATAGCCTGGCTCAGTAAAAGTAGGCGGAAAGTGCAACTCTGATTACAAATCTAGTTATAACCACGTGCAGTGCTGATAAGGACCACGTGTTTCTGTGACTCCTTCTCCTATTTTCTTCTTTCTACGTATTTCTTTCTCCTGATGAGGAGGGACCTTTAGCTGCCCTCGAAATCGATTGAGTGTTTCATTATACCTACGCTAAATACAAGTTTGTTTTTTACGATTTTGATCTCTTAATATGTTCATGGAAGGTAACGAAGATGTTCTGAGGTTATATTAGGTTTCAATATTAAGCACTCGGGAATGCGTTTAGAGAGGAGGTCAAGAGCATATTTCGGGATGTCCTGAGGATTTGATAAGTAATACTTTAAAATCCTAACACCTCTCAGTGAGAATGTCCTGAGGTTATATTAGGTTTCGATATTAAGCACTTTGATCATACGTTTAGAAGGTCAGGGGATATTTCGGGATGTTTTAACAAGCTATGCTTTTCACGTGAACAACATTTTGAGATATATGCGGAGATTTTTGAGGTTTTTGTGCTATACTTAATCAGTGATGAACCACTACTGTAATTTTATGCATAATGTTTGATAAAAAAAAAATAAGTAATTATTCACTTTTCTAGAAAATAAGTTTAAATAATAGTTTTAAGTGATCATGAAACGAAAATATTTGAAGTTGAATTCTGAAAAGGAAATGCGTTATGGGCAGTAAATCGCATTTTAGCTCATGGATTATTCGGTTTCGTATTTCTAATATTAACGTAAGAAATGATACACAATTCAGCACAATTGTACTTCTGTGGATTTTACGCATATGAATTCTGCAATTTCTGCAAAGGTGTATGGATTTGGCAGTTTCAATTCTTAATTGAAATCGTATCAACCAATATTAATTTTTATTCAGAAAATAGGCAGATTTTGAAGATTTCGGACACTTTTTAACGTCAGTACGAAAATTAAATAAATAAAAACAGCAAAATGAAATTCTTACTCATAACACGTATGTGGAGCTCTTTCTGGACTCTTTCTCTTTGCTTATTTAGAGCTGTACATAGATAGGTACCTTCGTCGGTTTCTCTGGTTACTTCTTTGATGAAGAAACTTCCATTTGTGTACACTTGCTGGCGTTCATTGAATGGTAGCTCCCGACCATCTGTTTTAAGAAATGAAGAAATATAGCTGTTACTTAATTTTAATACTGACAAACACGCTTTTCGGTACTTACGGAAAATCCCGTCGACCACAAAAGACGGCGCCAATCGCGCCCCCCCCCCAAAAAAAATGCTAAATACAAGAAAAAATGTTCTGTTCTTATTTTCTTTCAAATTTATTATATTATCATTTATTTATATTTAATTTGTCATAAAAAATGGCCATTATTTTGTATTTATAATTGTTTCTCAGTTTTTAAATAAAGCGCCAATTCGTGGCCATTAACACATTTTTTCGAGGCCGGTAAGATTCCATAACTTTGAAAATATTCAATAGCAAACTCTTCTATAGTAGGCAGGTTCAAATTTTAATGCTTAATAGAGGGGAAAAAAGGAGTATTTACTTATTTCATATATATAATAACTGACACGTGTAATCAAAGTTACACCAAACCCAGCGTGTTTGAAGAAGACTTCTCCATTTTTGGCGAAAAATTGCGTAGTTTGGCGTCTTTTCCTTAATAGGCAGAAATGGCCGACGGGAGGTTTCTAGGTACCCAATTTTCTACAAAAATTCCAAAGAAGTTCTTAACACAGAAACATCGGCGTTTAGAAAAATACATCCTATGCTTTAATTGATTTATATGATACCTTGGTACATACAGTAACTTGATTATTATAATATATAGCGGGCACAGCTATGAATACATTATTTTGCATGAAATATTTTACACTTTTGTAATCGCTAAACTTTTTTTAATCACAAAAGCATCAAACCTGTTGAAGGATCAATTTACGTTAGCTTTTTCTTTAATAATTATTCTTCAGCATACACACGGAAACTATAATTTTGTGCCACGTTTCTTAACCAAATCAAAAATCATTGCGCAGGATTTTCTTAATGAACAAATATGTCAATCAGTTAAAAAAATAAGTGTGCTAGACTAGGGCATTTAACGATTTTTCTGTATATCGAATTTTTAAATAATTCAGTTGTTGCATGATCTTCAGATATATTAAAACTACCGAGAAATATTTTTTCTTACAAACTGAGGCTTCTGTTTTTGCGTCATGCGAAATATAACCAGTTGATATAAGACTGCATCTGAATTATTTAATGGTAATGGCAAAAGCATTTAATTTCAAAGTCATCTGTTTCATTTAAACGAATGCATTCGCCAGGCATTCTGTGCACCATATATATTTCACGAATATTCATTGATAAAATTTAAATTAATTAACATTGATACAAAAGTGTTTTTAAATTACATTGCAGTATTTTTTTTTTTTTTTTTTTTTTTTTATTTTCCGTAGAAAAGCTCAGAAGTTCTCAGTGTAGCCTGGCAGTTAGAAATAGTTTAGTTCCTCATTTTCTATCATAAGTTAAAGCCCAAGTGGATGCTTTCCTGTTAGCCCATGAGGGGCCAACTGTAAAATATTCCTTTGAGTGAAATTTTTTCACGCTTCCTTGAACTTCTCTGCATAGTTAGTTGTAAGAAGACCAGCGAATAGTCGCTAGACTGTTTCCCAAAGTTCTAGCCGCCAAAGACACTAAATTAATTACAACTTCATAACTGAAGAAGAGATAAAACACTTCAGTATTATCAATATCTTTATTTTATGATTGATTTCATCTTTAACCCGCGAGCGCACGCACCGATCCGACGAACACAAGAACACGCGCCGGGTATGTCATACCCGAATAAAAAAAATTGTAAATAAAAATTTGCCGAAAAAAATTAATCGGTTTTTTAAAAGAAATTAAAAAGTAAAACCAAGTTAATATTTCATTTTAGACAAAATAGGAAACAATAAGGAGAGGAAAAATTATTTACTTACAATTTTTTGAACATTGTTTACAAAATGAGGTTATATGTTCCATACATATACTTTTGCTACAATTTTCACAAATGAATCTAGTCTTTCTATCCTTTTCCTTGGAGCACTCTGTACACCTCTTCTAAGTCATTTTAGCTTTTTGGAGGGCGGTCCATTGTTAAAATGTTCATCGGTGGTCAGTGTTCGTCCAGAATCAGGAACCACAGATGCTCGTCGTCGTTCATTTCAAACATTTTCTATTAGCTGCATCCCTAAGGCTTTGAGAAAAGTACTCATCCCGTTCACGTGTGAAATTTTCTCGTATTGAATAAATATAAATATTTGTATTGTCAACTACGTATTTTAACATATCTTCATCGATAAGCAATGACAAATACTCTAAAGGTGTTGAGACGTCTTTAGAATACTTTGTATTTCCAGGGAGTTTAGTTATAATATTTTGGCGCCAATTCTAACATTAGTCCGGAATTTATTTTTGTTCCATTTTTTCCCAACATAGAACGCATTGCTACATTCCAGAGTTTCATTTTCTGTTTCTGTATCTGAATCACTACTCTATATGGATGAATCATGATTACTAATTATATTCTTCGTCACCAACATCTTCCTCTTCTTCACTAAATGAATCCTCATCAGAAGAAACTGTTTCAAGGACATTTCTCAATCTTTTCATCTCTTCATCATAAGGAATATACGGCGCCATGCTTACAACTCAAGAAAAACTTATACTAAAAGCTTGAAAACGAGAAGTGCGAAGTGACTCACTGAGACGCCAGTACACGCGCGGGTATGACATGCCCGAACAATGCTGGTCCTAAAAAACCGTTGCACTTGCCACCTCAGGAATTTCCCACATTTAAGTATATGACCTGGAACTCAGCTACACCAAGTTTCGTCCTTTTATGAAAGAATGGGCGAGAAATATAGAAAAAGAAAAATGTACATGGGTATGACATACCCGCCGCGTGTGCTCGCGGGTTAAGTTCGAAACTAAAAGGTGTTGTGACAAAATACTTATATACAACGATTTTCAAATTTTTCAGTATGAGTTATTTGTAACCTATATGCGTAAAAACACATGTATGCGAATACACACACACACACGTACAATATACATATATATATATATATCAGTCATCAGTTTGAATTAGGCATTACGAATATGTGTTACATAACTATTAGATTGTCAGGATTGCATCACGAATTTAATTGAATTTTGTGGCAGCAGCTCGTGAAAGTTTCAACGTGATTAATAACTATAAATCGCCAGTTTAAGAGCATTCGTGTAACAAGTTTTAATATGTCGTAAAGCATTTTCTAATCATTTATTGTACTTCATGATAAATATGACTTTCCTACTTAATTAATGTACAAGTATTAATTGAAAGGTTTGGGATCTATCGCTATTTCTCTCTCCTGGTGTTACACGTGCGAACTTCGTAGTAGGCTTCATAATGTTCATATATACAGGTGTCTGAATCAGGTTCTGAACAAAATGAAGGGAAAAACTCAACACGTTTTGTAATGGCGGATGCAGCTGTCCCCGTGAAAATATGACACAGGTATGAGATTGACTTTATGCAAACTGGATATGAGCGGTACTGAAATTCTTGAAATATGCCATCGGACATTTTAAAATTTGAAATAGTACATCAAGTACCAAAACACTCAACTATAATCTCCTAATTTTTAGCTGGAAGTGTTTCCAATTAAACCACGATGGTTCTCAGTAAAGGAGGAGAAAATACCTATTAAGTTGTTTAAAGAGATTCGGATTTTCTATCCCAAATCTTACTAATGATAAGTAGTAGATATATCATTGCAGATTTGTCATCGTAGATTGTTCGTGGATTTCTAACACTATCAAATAAGCATACGTATGGAAAATTCAAAATTTAAACTTTCGAATATGTTGTAAAGTTATTAGGATCTTTTGAAGTAGTAAACATGAAAAATCAGTAATGCCCTCGACGGGTCTCGATCCGGGAACTCTCGAATACGCGCCGAATGTGTTAACCGTTACACCCCGAAGATATGCTGGAAGGAGCGAGAAAATACCTTATATACTACCCCTTTTAAAGGGCGACTAGAGAGTGGGAGTCCCATCGCCAAATCCTGGTGGTGAAGAATCATCCTCCACCACCTTTTAGTTCAGGCGCTATTTTACACTCATAAGGAATTTTGAAGTAGGAAACATGAAAAATGAGCAATGCCCTAGCCAAGACTCGAACCTGGACCTCTCGAATACGCGCTGAGTGTGCTAACTGCAACACCGCGAAGGCATACTGGAGGGATGGAGAATATGCCTTATAAAGTCTTGTTCATTATAACATTCTGCAGGTGACGTTCTGTAATGCTTCTAGTATGATTTTACAATAACGGAGCGAGTTATGAGCAAGTTATGACTATTGCGTATATACACTCATGTCCATAAATTAAGGATAATTCGGAGTCACGCGGAAATCGAACTCTAAAATAAATATATCACCTGTAAAATCACTACACACATCTTCAAGAATCATATGCAAATTTCAGGAAGTAACCAGATGACACCGATGGTACGTCACAATAACGAGAGTGTAAGAGAGTGATGTATAAGGAATACAGGCAAAGAAGTAAAATTGTTCGCAGGCGCTTTATAAGCATTTCAGTGCAATAACCGAATAGTTATGACACAAATGACGCATTTGGTTGATTTTCTACGTAGTAGAATTATCGGCCGTCTGGAATGTGGGCGTACCCAACTGGAAGTATCAGACGAACTTGGAATTGCCCAGAGTGTCATCTCCAGGCTTTGGCAACGATTTCAAGATGATGGTAATGTGAGTAGACGTTACAGCACATGTCGCCCCAGAGTTACAACGCCGAATGAGGACCGGTATTTGGAAGTTACTGCCAAAAAAACACGCGGAGGACAGCCTCAGACCTGACTCGTCAGCTCTCTTCAGCCACTGGTACGACAATTTCAAGGCAGACCGTGTACAGACGCTTAGGGCAGATTGGTCTATATGCTCGTAGACCTGTCAGATGCGTTCCACTTACTGCACCTCACTGTCGCCTGCGGTTAGCCTGGAGTAGAGAGCATGCATTGTGGACACCGCAAAAGTGGGCTTGTGTGATGTTTTCCGACGAGTCCAGATTTAGCTTGCAGTCTGATTCTCGC